GGGAAAGGGGTGGGAAGGAAGCGGAAAGGGTTGTAGTTAGGACGGAATACGCATGAGGTTGGAAATGGAAGTGGAGAAGAACAGGGGGAGTAGATAGATGGATGTGGAACAGATCAGGGTTGGGGGAGGAGGGGGAGGAGAGAAAGATCCATTTGATATTGAAGGGGGGGAAGAAATACATGCCCTTGCAAGGGAAGGTGAGCAGGCTGTACGAGACCTCGTCAGCTCAGCACAAGATGTTGTTACCCATTTGAACCTTGTCCTCTCTGCGCCGATTGACCCTGAGGTGGTTCAGGAGCTGGGCACAGGTTTGAGTCAAGCACCGGAGCAGCTGGGAGTCATCTCACCGCCTGGAGGTGGAGCAGCAGCTGCAGACAGCCATGGCCCGACTTCGACGCATACAGCCGCCGCTGTGCATCTAGCTGCTTTAGAGTTGGGAAGGCAAGGCTACAAGACGGCAAGCGTTGCGCTCAGGGTCGTGCTTCACCGTCTCCAAGAGTGCTTGGAGAAGGAAGGGAGGAACAACCGACCAGGCGAGGAGTCGACAAATGCAATGCAAGACGACGACGAGCTTGAGAGTCTACAGAAACGCGCTCAGCAGCTGGAGAACGAAGCTCGCCAAAAAAATCAACTGCTGAAGGTATTGATCGACGATCTACGAAGTCTTTTGCAAGATGTAACCATGTGGCAGGGTATCCCTCTTGCGACCGATCGATGTCCTTGACGAGCATGGGTTGGCGTAGACGCTGACGAGTATTCATTTGATTGAAAGCCCCGCCGTGTGATGTACGCCCATTTATCTTGCACGGTCTGGTGGGCGCTTTAGCCTCTGGCCGACTTGTTGGCTGAATCGGGCAACCTCGTGCCAAAGCAGCCAAACTGATTTCCCCGTCAGCACCGGTCAGTGGCTCTTTTTTCCTTTTTTTTTGTTTCCAATCAGTGCCTGTAGCAAACCTCTTTTTTGAAGTTTTTTCCTTTTTCCGGCCAGAAGCTTTTTCCGTCAGCAAACTGATTTCCCAACTAGTTTCCACAACTAGTTTCTAGGGACAGAAAATGGCTTCTTGCTGTGAGCGGAAGTGGCATGGCGAGTAAATTTGGTAGCAGAATATTAACTGTGGACGCAAGGAAGTAATCACTGATCAGGCGTTTACTTACTATTTACAGTAATTGACAATTTGAATTCAGTTGTTTTACTGAGGCTAAGGATAAAATGATGTGTGTGAAATGCGGGCGAGAGAGGCAGCAGCAGCATCCTCAGCAACCAATTGGTGTCTTTGGCATGGAAGGTAGGTTCTTCATTTACAAGGTGAATTGGGTTTCGTGTCCGTCTACTGTTGAATAGGGGGGCATTCAAAGCACTCCCAACTGTAAGGGGGCCAAGAGGGGTCAACATAGCCGAGAGTGGGTGTTGAGGGGTAGGGGAGGGGGTAGGAAAAGGGGGGCAAGAGGGGTCGGCGAAGGGGGATGGATAGGAAGGAAGAGGGGTTGAAGCAGCTTCATGTTGTGCAATGTTGGACATTGTTGACAGCAACAGACTCGTAACTCCAAAAAAGTCCTCTTATCCACCAGAGCTGAGAGGCTTTCAATCGCAAAGGAGATGAAGAAGAAGAAGAGAGGCTTCATTGGGGGGCAAGGGGGATGGGAGAAGGGGGAGGGGTAGGAAGGAAGAGGGGTTGAAGCTTTGTATTGCCCAATGTTGGAAGTTGTGACAGCAACGGACTCATAACTCCGATAAGTCCTCTTGTCCACCAGAGCTTGGGGGCTTCGATTGCAAAGAAGAAGAAGAAGAAGAAGAAGAAGAGAGGGTTCAATCATGCCGCGACAAGCGATAATGTGCTGCTGGTATTCTATGAAAGCTGTGGGTCTAAAAGCGCAAGCGAGGGTTGTGAGTGCAACCCGTTCAGTTGCATGTGGCGATCAGAGGGACATTCACCCCCCACTCAGTCTGGAATCGGCAATAACTCCACTCTTGTGTTTTGCGAGTGTAATCTATATTGCTGCCTCGCGTGTGCGGCAGATGCTCTATTCCAAGGGTATCCTGCACGTCGAAAGAATACCCGTTCCTGTCATCAGCATCGGCAACGTAACATGGGGAGGGAATGGTAAAACCCCAATGGCAGAGTATGTTGCGAAACGGTGTCTGCTTGCAGGCTGCCGGCCACTGATTTTGGAGCGAGGGTACGGAGGCGGCGATGAGGTGCGCCTACTTCGAGCCCGCTTGAATGGGACCAGCACCGTCATCGGCGTCGGAAAGGATCGCGTGAAAGTCGCCTCCGACGCGATTCACGGGTATGGGGTTGCTGCAGAATCAATGCAGGGTGACAGGCAGGGTAGGCCTGACCAAGCACTTGTTTGGAAGGACTTGTTTAGAAGAAGGCCGAATGGAACGAATGTCTCACGCCGAAGTGGGTTTCCGGCGAACGCTCCATCTCATTATGCCCCCTCATCTTCGGGGAAGACAGACAGCATCGATGGTGATCGACACGATGGGAGAGCAGCCACGGTCCTATGCTGTTGCGGCAGGGATGGAATTGACGAAAGCAGCTGGCAGCATGCTTTCAACACGCCCTCAACAACTGTTTTGTCCGGCGGGTCATCAGCAGCAGCATCTAGTGATAGTGAAGGTTTTCGGGGTAGGAAAACAGTAGGCGTCGAAGATAAATCCAGCTGCACCGGTGATGGAATAGGTGTGGCCATCCTTGATGATGGCATGCAGCATTGGAGGCTGGGAAGAGATCTAGAGGTTGTCATGGTTAACGCTCTATCCCCTTGGGGAAACGGCAGGACAGTGCCACGTGGGCCTCTACGAGAGAATCCTGCCACTGCGATTGGGCGGGCGGACGTGGTCGCAGTCCATCATTCCGATCTAGTTCCGAAGGGGGCGCTCGTCGAACTGCTAGAAGAGATGAAGAAGCTTGCTGGGCCGGCAGCAATGGTCATCAAGACGGCGATGATACCCACGCACTTCATCCGCCTAAGATCGCCGACAAGAGGAACGGCGCTACCATCATCGTCGTCATCATCACCACCATCAAGCGAAAATAGCTCGTGGGCAGGAGAAATTTGTTGTGAACGCGGACTTTCTGCAGGTTTTATCCCTGGCAAGCCACACTCTAAAAATAGCACTGATCAATGCAAATGCCTGGATATTCTTGATCTCCGACTAGATCTAGATGGCAGCATGAATACGGGAAGTGACCTGCGAGAATCCAATCCTTCCGCGGGAGAGCACTGTGGCGAGGGGGGTGGCTACGAGGCCACCATCACCAACCATGAGAAAAACAGACTGCCAAGAATCGCCGTCGATATCGATTCTCCGCGCCGTCAGCCAGCAGGAAACCTTCCGGGAGTGACAGTGAACCGTAACAGACGCGAGCATGGGCAACGTCAGCCGGAGGAGGAGAACGGGGAGGAGAAGGGGGGGCAGGAGGAGGGGGAAGAGAAGGGGGGGAGGGAGAAGGGGGAGGAGGAGGTGAAGGACAAGGAGATCGAGGATTACGAGGGGGAGGAGAAGAGGGAGGATAAAGGGGGGGAGAAAGGTGGGGAGGAGAAGGGGGAAGAGGAAGAAGCGCTGGCTTCTCTGACTGTTGTACAAGGTGCAGCAGTCTTGTCAGTGTCAGGAATTGGTTGCCCGAGCTCTTTTCGTCTCAGCTTGATGAGTTTAGGTGCCTTCCACGTGGAGGCGCTCGATCTAGGCGATCATCATAGGTTTACTTTGGAAGATGCAGAGCTTGTCAAGTGGCAATTAGGACAGCTGGAAAAGCGGTTCGCTGGAGAAAGAAGAGTTTTCCTAGTGATGACCGAAAAGGATTACATGCGTGACAAATGTAACATGCAGAGGTGGTTTGGTCCCATGGGCAGTGCCTTGGTCCTTAGTGCAGAGCTCCAGATCATTGGAGATGAAGTCTGATGAACTCTCTGAACAAACTCCACTCTCTGTTCCTCAAACATTTCAATCCACCTGACCTGCAAGCCAGTGAGCCTGCCTGATCAATCTCCTCTGTTTGATTTTTTTGTTTTCATTTTTAATTTAAATTAATCCGGCCTTGGCCATTATCTCATCTTTCTGAAAAATTATGCCTACAGAGCTGTCTGTAAGTGCCTGTCTGCAAAATGTCTGCCAAGGGTGTCTGCCTGCAGAACTCCTGATTGTGAAAATGTGCTGCAAAAAAGTGTTGCCTGCAAAAGCTTGTCGGCGATGCTAAGAAAGTATGTGTGGTGTCCTTCGGGACATCCGTTAAAATTGGTGCAATACAGAGAAAAAGAAGGAAATTAGCATGGCCCCTGGGCCGAGGTCCCACTAGCAGAAAGGATAGGATTAAGCTCCTGAATCTGGATGTGTTTTATGCGGAGATGCAGAAAAGCGGTTCAATCTCGATTTTCTGCACATCTCTGTAACCTCGTCCAGATTCAGGCATTCGATCCGATCCTCTTTGCTAGTGGGACCACGCCCCTGCACAAGCATGACACACATAACTTGAGAAATCGTCCAAATTGAAAAAAAAAAACAAAAAAAAAAGAAGAAGAAAAAAAAAAAACGGTGTAGCTCAATTGGTACACCAGCAAACTCCGGAAATATGGACGGAAGTTCAAAATCTGATACAACCAGAATAAATGCATTCTTAAATTCTCTTAATTACCAGGGGTCGGTCAGTTCAACGATGATATCTCAAGGCCGTCGCCCTTTCTTCTGCTCTTTAAAAAAAAGATTAAAAAAAATGTGTGTGTAAGGTTTTGCCTGCAAAAGCTTGTCGGCGATGCGAAGAAACTGTCTGTAAAGGTCTCCCTGCAAAAGCTTGTCGTCAATGCGAAGAAACTGTCTGTAAAGGTCTCCCTGCAAAAGCTTGTCGGCGAAGGCCCGACTGCAAAAGCTTGTCGGCAAAGGCCCGACTGCAAAAGCTTGTTGTCTGCGAGGACCTGCCAACGAAGGGCTGCCCGCAGTAGTCTGCCTTGCAAGGTTCTGCCTGCAGTGGTCTTCCTCTGAATACTGTCTGCACAGGCTCACCTGCAAGCCCTACGGAGGAATGCCTCCACGCGACAGTGGGCTGGAAATATCTGCATGGCTCGCAGTAGTCTGCCTGCCAGGTTCTGCCTGCAACGGTCTTCCTCTCGAGGCTGTCCGCAAAGGGCAACCTGCAACACTGACTGCCCTGTGGTTGGTTACACTGCATGGGAAAGGTCTGCCTGGCTGCCCAAGGCTTGTAACGAGCATCAACAGTGTGTGGAGCTTTGCCTGCAGAAAACCTGCCTTCGGCGATCGCGCGCTTCCTGGCGTTGGACGGCGGTATGCAACGCGACCCTCTGAACGGTGTGTTGCCTGATGGGCATTATGCATTTTTGTCTGTCTCTTTTCCTCGCGATTCGAACAACGGTAGTTTTTCAACTGCCTGACTGCACAAGCTTGGTGAAACCACCACTGCAGGACTTCCGAGGCACTTTTCTCCTGGGCTGGAAACGACCTGTGTGCCAAAAAAAAAAAAAAAAAAACAGTGCGGGCCGCCTTTTGGCTGGTGCCGCCAGCCATTTTGCTCCGACGGAGGCCGAGCCCCGAAAGTTGTGGCTGCATGCAAAGCCGCGACTTTGAAAAACAAATGGCTGGCAAACGCACCGGTGGTTTATACCGCAAGTACACGACCCCAGCCTTGCAGAAAGTTTTTGTCGCCACAAGCAAAACTCGGAGGGGCCGCGCGGCGGCGTGGGGCGCCGTTGAAAAAAAAAGAATCGACGGCCTCCAAAGTGGTGGTGGGGGTTTCATCCTGACACCCGCGGGTCAATGTGTGGTGTACTGGTGTATTAAACCACCAGTACCGGGCCCAGCTATCGAGTCCGAGCCTCGGCCAACCGGTACGCCTATCCGTGCCGAGGCTCGGACTACCGGGCGCAGGCATCGTTGCGATGTATCATGAAACTCACCGCCCCCTGGGGTTTCATCCAGACCCCTGGTAACTCCAGAGTTATTTAACCTCTTCGAGGGCGTATTCACACTAGCACCTTTATGAATGTATCTGACCACAATTACGGCAAGACCGGGATGCATCTGACTGCAATCACGCCCTGAGCTGAGGCAAAAAAGCCCTAGTGTGAGTATGCCCTGATTAGCAGCATTCCAAGCCCCAGGTCTGCTTATCAACAGCTGACAGGTATACGCTTCAGCGGTCAGGCTTCAGCTTGCCCGGAGTGCCTCGCTCATCCCACAGATTGCAGTCGATGATGTGAGGGACGCTGGGCCTGATTCCCAGCATATATATAATGAATTGGTTGGTTTTGTTTTAAAATAAAAATAAATAGAAAGTAAATAAAAAGAACAAAAAAGGGAGGGTGTACCATTCAGCCAAATGGGGTGGGTGTGTACTTGCATCCAAACAGCTCTGCTCCTTAAACAGCCAGTACACGGCTCCACCCTTGTAGACATCGGGTCATCGCCGACTCTGAAAATCTTGTGGCTCGGGCCTACTGGAGCGCAATGGTGGCGGCGCGAGCCAAAGAAAAAGAAAAGTGCGCTGCTGGTGGTTTCGGCAAAGCTTGGCGCGCAGTGCAGCGCCTCCAGGTGCAGGTTGTACTTACTAGTGGTTTAAATTCGAATACAGCTTGGAGGGCAGGTGGCTTGCCAGGTCTGTCACATGGGACCCGCTTTTTTTTTTTTTCGCTTTGGCTAAGGTTATAGAGTTTCTGGGGGGGCAAAGGGACCATGGCCTTGAGATCGCACTGAACTGACCCCCCTCACATTCTTCGTATAAGCGCAGGCGCTCCCCTTGCCTGCAACTGCCCTCCCTACGCGCCTCCAGGTGCGGGTTGTAGTAGTGGTTTAAATTCGAATACAGCTTGGAGGGCAGGTGTCTTGCCAGGTCTGTCACATGGGACCCACTTTTTTCTTTTTTTTTTTCGCTTTGGCTAAGGTTATAGAGTTTCTGGGGGGAAAAAGGGACCATGGCCTTGAGAGAGCACTGAACTGACCCCCGTCACATTCTTCGTATAAGCGCAGGCGCTCCCCTTGCCTGCAACTGCCCTCCCTACGCCACCCAGTCCACCACTCCAATCAAGGGGTTGACGGGGGCGCCTCTTCCCTCCCTGCGCCTGCCTCTGCCCTCCCTACGCCACCCAGTCCCCCACTCCAATCAAGGGGTTGACGGGACTGCCTCTTCCCTCCCCGTGCCTGCCTCTGCCCCCCCCCCCCCCCCCCCCCCCCCCCCCCCCCCCCGCCTCCACCGCCACCACTCCGAAAAAGGGGCTATGGGCTTGAGATAGCACTGAACTGACCGGCCCCACTGGCCCCAGGCAATGCAGAGTTCACCTTCAAGATTCTAATTCAGGTCTGCTCAGGTCTGCGTATGCACTTGTATTCCAACATAAATGGGTATCTAAGGGTCGAACTCAGGTCTGTGTATATCTGGTTGGAGGCTGCATATGCACTTGTATTCAAAGTTCGAACATAGCGGTGCTGCTCAGACCCTGCCTGCTTGGGAATGCTGGTGGCATACAGTCCAGTGCGACCAGTCCCACACTGTCCAGTGGGACCAGTCCCACACTGCACAGTGCCAGACTGCAAGGCCCTGTCTGCCTGCCTGGTAAGCGAACGTACGGGTCACTACAGGAGCGCCCAAATTTATCCGACTTGAAACGTTTCTAATTTTTTTTCCCCGTCCTACGGCGTTTATAGGTCAACGGGTCACACGGCCAATAGCTGGGCAAAGTACTGGTGGTTTAAACCACCAGTATGCTTCCCAGCCATTTTTTCAGAGAGACGCGGTGGCGTGCATGCTGCCGCGTGAGGCGGGATGTACTGGGGTGCCGTCTCACCGAACATCCATCCAGGCAAAACATGCCTTGCATGCGACCCATTGCCTGGCCTGGTACATCCTGCCTGATGCAGCAGTATGCGCCGCACATCTCTGAAAAAATGGATGCCTGGGAAACGTACTGGCGGGGTCCATGCTTCCCTCACCACCATCCCTACAGAGGATCGTGCATTGAAAAAAAGAAACAAAAAAACGAAAAAAGTTCCAAAACAAACAAACAAACAAACAAACAAACAAACAAGCAAAGCAAGGAAGAAATGGTTGTGCCATCCTTTATTTTGTAAGGAGTCCCTCTATCATTTTCACATCTGTGTTCAAGAAAATGGGATTAGGGTCATTAGGGGAGGTGGTGGTTTTCTTTTCTTTTTTTCTTTTTTTTTTTTCCTAACTAAGGGGATGTTTGGGAGGTATTTGACAACATCTTTTCGGACGATTCTGTAATAATTTAAAAATTAAAGGATGTGTGCGATGAGATCCAATCGCAGCAACCCCATCGGAAGGCTTTTTTTTTCTTTTTTCAGAAGGCGTTTTTTCGGAGCTGCTACTTCTCAAGATTCCCACAGCGATTTGGAGTTTGCCACATGGCAGAAGAAGAAACAAAAGGAGTTGTCCTTCGGGACATCCATTAAAATTGGAACGATACAGAGACTGAAGATTAGCATGGCCCCTGCACAAGGATGACACACTTTTTTTTTTTTTTGTGGATGCCCTGGATGGTACTGGATACGTTTTTTTTAGCTGTTTTTCGAGACTCTGTGAGCGAATGTGTGAAGGGCTGCCACGTGGCAGAAGAAGCAGCAGCAACGTTAGATTTTTTCTTCGCTCCCCTGCTTTTTTCACACGCTCCCAAGCACGGCATAGTAGCATACTAATGTCCACGTGTGCGTGTGCCTACACCTGCCCTGCTCTGTCCGCTCACTCGCACACAGATCGTTGCTAGTACCGCAACTGGCGGCACCGTGATTGGAACCCGAGTGCAGCACCGCCAAGTGTGTGCGCACGCAACCTCCATGCTAATCGCTACGACAGAGCCTCTGTGGCTGGTATCGTTTTCATGATTCGTTCATCAATGTTGGTCCTACTACTTTGTTTGTTTGTTTCTGAAAAATGTGGACCATTTCTCGATTTACGTGTGTCATCCTTGCGCGGGGGCGATGCTGATCTTCTGTGTGCCGTCCCAGTTTT